CTATTTTCCCCTCTGCTTTGCTGTCCTGGTGAGAAAGCAGTAAAAAAATCGAAGTTTATATAAAGCAGTTCTAACCACAAATGTTAGAATCGTTCTACTGATGAAAACATGATTTTCATATATATCAAAAACATGCTGTAGTTTGAAGAAATACATAAAAACTCTATTATTAGACAGGATAATAGTATATTACACTATATACTCCTTGGTTTGACAATGATTATAGCATAAGCAAAGGCAGGTTGATATCTGTTTAAATAGTTTTACCTAAAGCTACCCCTTTTTTTCTGATACTAATCTCTACTTTGACTAACTCCAAGATTCATTTTATATCATTTCCTTGAATTACAACTACTATAAACAAGAGGAACAGCCAAACATTTTTCTCAGTAATGAGTCAGAAAAAAAAAAACATAGTTAAAACCAAGAAAACTTTCCTAAATATATGTTGTAGGGACATAAATAAAATAAGTAAGATGAATTACAGCTAAGCATCTGTCTTATAGTGTACAAGTAGTTTGGGAATCTAAACAGATGAAAAAGAAATAAAGCAAATGAAAAAGGAAAAGGAGGAAAAGAAAGCAAAAGAGCTGATAAAGTTTCTGGCTACAATACAGGAGACATATCATTACCATATGATCTAATGTGGGTGTCAGCCTGGATTGTGTTCACTGAGAGAAACCTTATTTTTTAACTGTGCTATGGAATAGAAGCAGGAGGGTTTTCCACCAAGTGACAGTCACTGAGCTGAACTTACCCCCTCCTCCTTTCCACACCTGCAAAGCCTTTTGCCTGGGTTGAATATTTAGTTTAATTACATCTCAGCTTTGAGAGCTCCTGTTGCAAATCCCTGGATTAAAAGGTACGGTTTTCAGTAATTCTCCTGAACTATGCTGCACTAATAAAACTTCAGGCAAGTCTACGGCAAGAACTAGTTGAATTTTAAGAGACGCAAGGAAAAAAATCCTACTAAATGTTTAGCAATGTTAAGTTTCGTATCCAGCACTTTTGTTTCTTGGGAACATGAGAATGCATTCTCAAGGACTGTGCAGATTTCCTACTGTTTATTTGACTGCTCTGTCTCTTGTTTTGATTTGTATAAGCACTGCTATAGTCCTTTCTTTTTCCTTACTGTAAACTTTTGTAGCAGTATATTCTCTGTTTGCAGTCCAGTGTTTAGAATCGGTGATGTAGTGAGTGTAAAAAATGCGTGAGTTCTTACATTTCTGCTTTAAACTGCACTCTGTGATTTCTTTTTCATTCGGATTTCTTCATATATATTCCAAACGTTAATGAATATAATTTCAATTTCAGAGATAAAAAAAAAAAGTAGTTAGTTAAACGGGCTCAGTGTACGCCTTTGTAATGTTAGAAAGTGCTATGTTACAGTGTACAAACAAGGGACTTACATTTAAAGAAGGTTCCTATGAATGAAACAGTAGAAAAGAAAATTCCTGGAGTTGAAACTCCTGTTAACAGAGTTTTAATCTCTTTAAAACTTCCAACTTCTATGTTTGCATATCTAGACTTTATTACACAAAATGGGTAAAACATATAAGGTAGGGGATTTTTTTTGGAAACTGCACATATGGTTTAACTTGTCTTTTGTGGCATTTTGAGAGATTTCTGACAGTAGGTGAACTAATATTTAAAACTTAATATTAAGGTAATCTGACAAGAAGACCACCAATACAGTGGTGACGTGAACTGATGAAGCATATTTCCAGTGGTATTTTAAACTGAAATGTGGCCAAGCCTATGGTATAGTTTCCTCTGTTTGTGGAAAAGTCTTTCTCATTGTAAACACATAATTAAAGCAAATTTAAACAGTTATGTCCTGCAGACATAAATATTGTGTCACAGACCTCTAAGAAATCAGATTTTTTTTTCCCTCTCTGTTTTTTTTGTAAGTCAAATGTAAACATTTCTTACTCATACAGTTTTGTATATATTTTTTTTCTCTGTTTATGTTCATTTACACATGCAATAGGAACAATAGGAAGAGATACGTGTGCCTGCAATACGAATACATATACGAATAAAGATATGCAGACATATACCTATTCCTGTTTCCTGATTAATATGTGACTTGTGTCTACTGTTTTCTCTGCTGTGTCCTCAGATGAGATCCTTGATATTCTTTGTTGTGTTACAGTTTTCCTTTATACACAGCTCTTACTGATTTTATTATAGTTTTGACTAAACAGGGACCAAAGGAAAAGGCCTACCACAGGGTTTAACGGAGATAAAAGTGAAGTCATCAGTATTAATGTGAACAAGAAGTAAAATGTGAATATACTTCCAAAGTGCCTTTGCATTGTTTTGGGGTTTTTTTTGAGGAGTAGTAATTTAACTCCAGGATAAGATCCTGATTGTGCATTCTTGGGATGGAGGGTGCTCCAGCAGTGACCCTTGGAGGAGGAAATACAAGCAGTTTTAAATATTTTAAAATATTTTTAAAATATACAAATATGTAAAAAAGAGCTGGGGAAGCTCTTTAAAAAGTAGTGCCTGCCAATGCCATGCAGGATTGGTGTGCAGCATTCCCAATGTTTATTGATGTTAATGTATATTCTGAAAAATAATTCGTACTGGGGTAATGTTTTATTGACCATTTTCACAAGGCATCTTATTGTGATGAATGGTAATGATTTAGAAAATTTGTCTTAGTGTTTCAGACTATTAATAAATTGCATTGTTATTTTGCAATAATTTGTACGTAATAACGATTATTTAAAAAATCTTGTTTTAGATTACACTGTGGTAAGAACTCACCACCATGTATTAGCACCACTTTTCTGTGCCATCCTGACTTGTCCGTGTGTACTCTGCATGCATCATGGGGGTGTTGCTGGGGCAGGGACACAGCCCCAACATGGGAGGGGAACCAGGGCAGGAGGATGGCCCACCTGGGGACACAGCTTGCCCCTGCTCCATGGCACGAGTTTACACAGCGCTGAGTTGGGCTAACAGGACATGCTAAAATGTTCTGACCCTCTAGTTGACATTGGGGTCTGTGAAACCCCTCAGTGCATACAGCAGGTAATATGTCTGCTCCAGGACTAGAAAATACTTCCAGCTCTAACTAAGAAACCAATTATATCTCTTAAAGAGGCAACAAAAATGGTGTTTTACTCCATTGTGACTCCAAGTGACTTCAAGTCACTTCAAAGTCTTTGGGACTTCTGTAGGTGTTAGATACCTTTCTTCCTGTTAGGTAGATGACAGAAATGTAAGCAATGATTTTAAAACATTAACATCATTTATAAAGTAATCTTATCATCCTCTCAAGACTGAGCCCTAAAGGTTTCTGCAGGATTGCATTATTGGCATCTGTAGGTAGAAATTCATAAAGGAAATTGAATCCAGGCACAATATAGTTTGTGTCTAATTCCAGGCCTGTGTTTTTTATTTGTTTATCTTGTTTTTATACTAACCACTCCTGTTAGAGTACCTGGATGTCATATTCTAGAAAGAAAGGCCTCAGTGTACCACTCTCACCTAACATCAGCTGCCCATGTTAGTCGTCTACCTGGTAGGTTCCATATGTCAATGGAGAGAGGGAGACAGTCCTCCTCCTCTGCCTCTCCCCCAGATTTTTTATCTTTCCATTCGTCAATACAGAGCTAAGAAATGCTATACCACGCCCCTAACTGTTAGATAACTTCTGCTAGAAAAGAATTAATCCCAGCTAGCACCCAAACAAGGCATTTCGGAAGTTATCGACCTGAAGAAGCAGGTGGACATTTTTGCTCTCATTACAAAGAGCAACACCTATATTCAGGACTACACAATCCATTTTAAGAAAAAGCTCCTAAATAAATGACAAGTTTGCCTTTCTGTCACTTGTCACTTGGAATCTTGAAGGCAGGTTTCCTCATATTTTTTTGTGGGTTGTTTTTAGACCCATGAAGGTTTGTAAAAGATAATCTTCCTTATATAAAATAAATAGTAAAAGAAAAGAGTTTTCAGGAAATTAGATGATCTTTGCAGCCTTGATACGAAACCTGTAAACAGCTGTTGTGTAATTTCTCCTTAGTGCACAACAACACAGGCAGCACAATGTACAGTGTGTTGAAATGCATTTAGGCCTAGGTCCTGAGAACACATATTTAAGCAGTTTTCTTTGTTAATATCTATAGCAATACGTACTTGCATAAAGATGCTCTTGCGAATGAAAGTCTGCAGAATGAGGCCCTGAAGTCCCATTAGAAAGTGTGCTGACAATACTACAAGCGTCAATTTAAACGCTTATACCGTGCAAAGCAGAGGATTTTCAGGGTGCATTGTTTATATCATAAAATCCCCTAGGCAAACATTTGGAAATGAAGCCAAGAATATCCAATGTAACACAACATTGTATTCCATTTTATTGTGCTATTTAAAATGAGGGAGAAGTATAGCTCATTTAAACAACTAAAGATCTTCCCCTCTCTCTCCACCCCATCACTAGATCCTACTCTTGGTCTGTTTTACTAGGCTATAATTTAAAACACACAGCAAGCTGGCACTTTAAAAAAATATTTCTCAAGACATGAAATACTGCATTACAGTGAGTTTGGGAACCTCAGGTTCGTCCCTAGAGGACAAACTCATTGCTATGAAACAAATGCTAATGAAATCAAATAGACTGTTACGTTGGCAGAAAACAGGAACATGGAAAATGTGGCTTATTGTTTTGACTGTTTTGCATAACAAAGTTGACAGTGCTGCCTGTTCCTAATAAATATTACTCCAAATATGCAAGCAGATGTGTTTACAGTTGCCTTTAAACTGTTCTGTAAAAAAAAAACAACAAAGCTTATTGACAAGCAGTTACTAGACTCCTATCACATAACTGTCCTATTTTCACAATTCAGTTTTCATTTATTGAAAGGAACAGTTATGCAATTGGTGGATATGCTGGACCTCTTAACTGTGCAGCTATGGGAAACTGCTGCTTTTGACATAAATCTCCTGCTTTGATCCCCAGGTTCTGCCTGGAGTAGATGAACTAAGCCATGAGGCTGGCTCTTCTCTTCGTCCTACTGCTGCCAGCATGCTTGGCCAAGCCATTCCACCAGCAAGGCCTCTTTGACTTTATGCTGGAGGATGAAGGATCGGCTGATATGCCTCCAACAGACGATCCCGTCATATCTGGATTTGGACCAGTGTGCCCCTTCCGCTGCCAGTGCCATCTTCGTGTGGTGCAGTGCTCTGACCTAGGTAAGCCCAAGAGTATCTTCATAGGGTATATACTTACATTCTAGCCATGGGTTTGCAGTGGAGATGGTGAGACTGCTACACACTGCCACTCCGTAACTGGGTTTTTGTCAAAGAAATACGCTACAGCTACTATTAACTAGAATGTACTATAGGAGGTAGGTCATAAAGCCCTGGCAAGATGGACATTTGTTGTGATCATGAAGAATGTTTGATTTTTTAATGTATATTTTGTGTATGTACATTTAATTTGTTCTCTGAAAAGCCACAGATTTCTGTGCAGAGAAAATAACTTTTCAAGCCTATTCCTTCAAATGCGTATTAAATAAATTCAGTGAGGTCAGATGTGGAGATGGAAACATTTTGAAAGGTTCTAAATTGCATGGTCCAAGCTCCAACACCCTTAATCATGCTGTCTAGTACATCAACGCAGAAATCATCCCATTTCCATTGGAATACATGAGCATGGAATAACCAACCCTGAATCATATATGCTGGAACCAGCCCTTTGGAGGAAAGAGCTTGGAAACTCTCCAAAACAATGGACACAGTTTGGAGCTCCTTATTAAATGTCTGTCTTAGACACTGTTCAAGCTGACACCATGAGAACCTTTCTCACAAACTCCCCTTACTCCCTCACGTACAAGGGCTTGTCTGCACAGTCATACCAACAGGATGCAAAGCCATGCCTGCCATCACTGTATTTGACTTTCCCATGCAGAAATCTCAAGTAATGAAGTTATCTTCAGTGAGACTGCTCTTGGTTTAAGCTAGTATTATTCAGTCTAAGTCAGTGTGCAGTGCAGAAAATCAATTAAAGTTGATTCTGCTCAGAAGGAAATTAGACAATTTATTCAGTGGACAGAGAAATAACTTCTCTTATGATTTTATAGAGTTTATTTTTTAAAAAAAGTCTTCTCTCAGCTGTTTAAATGTATGGTTGGGTGTTTCTATTTTGCTATGTTGTAGCATTGGCTTTGATAATTACTGTAAATCATGGCACAAATCCACTAATTAGGACCTGGGTCTCATTGTGGTGGGTGTCGTACAATTACAGAAAGGAGGAGGAAACATTAGTTACATCCCTAGAAACTTCTGTGAATTTATTAAAGCAAGCCACATAATTACGCAACAGATATGTTTGGCAAAGACCCAGCGAACAATGCAAGCCAAGTTGCACAAATGAGCATGGACTAACCTAGCCATACATTCATAAAGCTTTCACAGTACTGTCCCTCTTGAAAGGTATTGTCTTTTTTTTACCATTTAGGTGCCAGATAGTAGCAAACATGGCGTGGGGAGGAGATTGACCCACATGCCATGAAGATCTTGGGTTTTATTGTTGTTACACTGGTTAATACTGATGGAATTCAAGTTATTTTGGGAACTTGTCCCCAGTCTGCTTCAATTCTGCAGAACGTAAGGATCTTTCAATTGGTAAAAAAGTAGAGATATTCATACAGGGATTCTTTGTTGCTGTACTTGCTCCCATGTTCATTCAGTTCTCCTTCACACACACATGGTTGCCAAAGGGTTGCCCCACATTCCACTGCATACAGATGCTTCTGGGTTAATAGAGACCCATACTGACAAGGAGACTCAGAAATACAGCAATTAAAGCCCCAGGTCTGTGTTTCCCAGATAAATTTGAGAGGGTTGATAAGAAAGAGAGATGTTTTGAGCTTGGTTTAAACCCACATGCTGCAGATACTGCAATGAAAAGACTGCTTTTGAAATGACTGGGCTAATAACATCCAGCCACTGGACTCAGAGATATCCCTGGGCTTAGAATACACAGCCCTGAAAAATAAATAATATTTCCCTGGCTGAACTCAAGGAAGTAACAATCGTTCAGAGTTCCTCAGCCTTGGCATTAAGTTTCATCCATCCTTGTCACAAGTGGTTACCACAGCCCCCGGTGGGTGGAGGCCCAGGCGGGAGGCTCACCAGAGCGCAGGCCTGATGGCCGCCCCTGTGAGCAGGGACAAGATGGGACAGCTGTGTGTGCTGCCTGCCCGCAGGCAAATCTGCCCTCCGCTGTCCTCTCTTCTCCTTGAATCCGTTTTGATGTGACTCAGTCTCAAACAAGGTCAAACTTAGCTACTGACTTGAGGAAAGCCAGGAGCTGGCCCCCAAAAACTCAACATTTTTTTGCCAACTGGGAAGGTCCTGCCAGGATGACCTAGCATGCTCCTGGGCTGTGGGATGAAGGGTGCTCAGGGCACAGTGATGAGGAAGACAATGTGCACATAGGAGTCATGAAGGCAGCAATAACAGTTCCACCTCCTTGCTAACCACCGCTCCTGGCCCGCCTCTCCCTTCAGCTCTGGGCGTTTCCAACCCAACCAAATTAGCTACCTCCTTCCCCCAAAATTATCAAATTTAGTCATCTAGTCCCATGGGCACTAATTGAAGAAAAACTGCAGGCAATAAGAAGACTCCTCCCAGGGATATATTAAGAGCTTACTAAATTAAGTCCCACAAAGGAAAGTTGAAATCTGGATCAGCATCCTTTCTTCCATTCAGTCTCCAGCGTGGAAGGAGGGGTCTTTGCAGCCACGAGCCCCTGGGTGCACGAGTCCCACAAAGGAAAGTTGAAATCTGGATAAGCATCCTTTCTTCCATTCAGTCTCCGGCGTGGAAGGAGGGGTCTTTGCAGCCACAAGCCCCTGGGTGCACGGGGCATGTCAGAGCAGGGCAGCTGGAGCACCCTAATGTAGGCTACTTATGGAGAGGTCTCCTCTTCCTCAGCATGCTTTTTTTTGTGCCCAAAGGGGTATTTGTTATTTGTAAATTCTTGCTTTGTAAGGAAAAAAACCAACTATCTGACACAGAGTTATGTGATTAAACCACAGGGTTACTATCACATCCAAGGTCCAGAGACCAGGTTTGCCCCTTGTCTCATGAGCACTGGATGGGAATAATAATAATAACCAAAAAAAAAAAGGTCCAAATTCAATAAAAACAGTGAAAAAAATGCCCAGTGGTCCAATTACACTCTTGTCAGCTGAATTTTTGCATTCCTCTGCTTTTAAGCTTCAGTCACATCTTCCTAAGCACATACCTCCAAATTAATTTATTTTGCCTCCAAGCCAAGAGCTGAGTTAGCAGGAAGGAGAACGCTGTCTTCTCACACCCTGAAGAAGAATTTTCTCTGGGCTGCAGTTACTGACAGATCAAGAGCAGAGCCCCGTGTGCCTACCTTATATGAGACGTATTACCTTTGTGCAACAGGCTCAGGGATTTCATCAAGGCAGACCACTGCAATATCTTTATAAAAGCGCTGCCTTTTCTGAACCTGCCTCCTGTTGTTAAAAGGGAGCCACAGGTTCACTTGTTAATTATGCCTCAGTATAAGGCATTACTATGCTATAGCCAGACTTTCCATAGAAATCACAAACATCTTCCTTATTAGCAGACACTACAGGTGGGGAGTAGCTGATATAGCTGGTCAGAGGTGGCTCTTCATGTTTTAAAACAACAAATACAGGGAAGATGTGCAGTCAGTTGGCCAGGCAAGCATGCTTCGTAAAAGTCATGGCAAGGATTAACCGTTCCATTTAAAGTCTCATCCTCCCAAAGGGAGTTTCAAGAAAAGGTTCCTCCCAGAGTGTCTGGTAGACAGGAGGACACATGTGTGATTACTCAGCCCTGCAGCAGATGCAGAATGCTCTGTAAGTGTGTTTGGAGGTGGTGGTCAGAACTTTATTTCACCTTCAGATAAGTCTGGCAGCCCCTTATGAAGTGAGCAGTGTCTGTGTTCTGCAGGATGCAATGAGATCGCCTTCCTTGGAGACTTCACAGGATGTAGAGGGGTCCCTCCAGCCCTCTTGTCATGAGCATCCATGGAGGTTTTGTGGTCTCCAAAAGGTGTGTGAGATGGATGTCAGTAATTAAAGTTCAAGCAGTGTTACAACTTAAACTGGAATTTTACTTACAGCTCAGAAATGCAGAGTTTCTCCAGCTGTGAAGTAAAGAAGGGTATATTAAAGCTCAGTTGGGCAGTGTAGTGTGTGTTTGAAAAGCACTTTGAGATCAGTAGGTGAAAAGCTCACAGATATGTAAAGCATTATTCCAGGGATCCGGTAACATGAGGTAGCTGATCTGAACACATACAGTGTCTAAACTGTATTAACTGATGACTCTTCAACACCTGAACCATGGAAACACGACAGCAGCTAATTCATTTGTTTACAAAAGATGATTTATCTCATTCTATAAAATCTTCCATAAACATCTGAACACTCATTTTCTGATCGTGACTCCATTTGGGAACCTCATCTCTCATTATCAAGGAAATTATTTCCTTTGGGATGTACCTTGATTTGAACTTCTGTTGTCAACACAGAATCTTTTTAAAGAAAAATAATTCGTACCTCATTGGTGATCAGTCTCAGTTATTTTATGAGTTCAAGGAAACAGATAGAATTACTTCCTATTGTGTACTTAGCTTTAGAATCCCTGCCATTATTTGAATGTTTACCAACCTGTCAAAAACATAATTTTTAAAGCTAAATGTTAAGCTCAAAATCTTACAGGTTTCTAAAGACATAATAAATGAAAGCATGGATCCTTAAATGGCCAGACATTAATAAATATAATTTTTAAACGAAAAAGTTGTTGTTAATTTACATTGTAATTGCTGAGCCTTTAGGACAAGTTATTCCATGTTTTATGCATTTTTTCCTTCTAACAAGAAGCACTAGAGACTTATTCCTTTTATGTTTAATAGAAGCTATGACTTATTAAATTTCCTGACTTCATGGAACTGGACCATTTAATAAAAATATTATCAATAAAAATGGAACCATGAAATCTGGGAACGTATATTGTCAGTTATACTGAGAGTACCCTCTGCATCACAGTACCACTGCCCTAAAACTAAATGCCTTTTTGGACAACAGTCTTTAGCCAAACATAACTTATGCTGTCATCAAACACAAGTCATTGGGCTTTCCACGTGCTAACTGGCTGAATTGTAATACTCCAACATGTTGAAGATC